GTATGTGTATGCCAGCAAAAAGCAAGTCACTTATGAAAGAGGAAATAAGATTGACCCCAGACCTGCCACACCACCCTCAAAACCAAAGACAATGCAGCAATGTCTACAAAGTTCTGAGGAAAACAATAAATGACTTGAAAATTTTAAGACCAGTCAAATTATCCTCCTAGGATAAATGCAACAGATAGAAAGCATAAAAGAAGGTAAAGAAAGCAAAATCCATGAGCCTTTCTTGGAATAAAAATAAATAAAAACTATTTTATGACAAAATCTAGGCAACTAAGTAGATGAATCAAGGAGTGTAGAAACGGAGAAGCCAGGACATGGAAAAGTCTGATGGTGAGCATCAAATCATTCAAAATAGAACCAAGAGTAAACAACTCTGAATTACGGTTGCAGAATAAGATGTAAATGTTAAAAACCCAGACAATATAAAGAACAATGTAACTAACAAAATGGGGTTGGAAGAGGGAGAGAGGTGAAGAAAGTGAAATGACATCTCTTTTCTCAAATGTCATAAGGAAGTTGATAGATATTGTGCAAAATCAAAACAATTTTTAAAATATGCTGTGTGCTCACTCGGCAGCACGTATACGAAAATTGGAAATATACAGGGAAGGTTAGCATGGCTCCTACATGCAAAGGATGACACACGAATTTGTAAAATGTTCCATATTTTTATCTTTTCCTTCTGCAAAATTTTACAGAAATATTTAGTGCAGTAAGACATAACTATCAGTTCCCACCCCTAAGTTTTGATGTTCAGTATCTGATACATCTTTGGTAATTTAAGATTTCTTTACCAATGTGCAAATTATTTAAAGCACAGACTTTAAATGCAATATAAAAGTCTAATAGGGGTAAAAACTACATATGATGTGAAATAATTTTAATGTGTGTATATTTTTATTCTCATAAACTTTTGTGCCCTACATTGGATTTTATTGGAAAAAATAGAAATAAAAAATATATTGACTCTTTCCTAATGTCTGTCACTGGAAGAGGTATTGACATTTGAGGTGGGCATGTTTTTGATGTTAGGACTATCATATGCATCTATGACGTTTGGCATCTCTGGAGAATGCCAAGATCCCCCCAGTTGTGACAACCCAGAACACGTGCATGCATTTCTAAACGTACCCCCTAGGGAATTCGCACTACCTTGGATTGAGAACCACTGCTCTGGCCACTTAGAGTTTTTCATATCTTTTCCATTAAAATTAAAGCAATGTTAGAGAATGAAAATCTTAATTTAAAATCTCAAAAAGGAATCATTTACTAAAATGTATTGTTTCATATTGGTGTCCTTTTCTATTAAACTAAAATAAAAATGAATTTAATACAGAAAAGCCCTCTTATCACAACAATTTACAATAAAAAATATTTGTTGAAACAGGGAATCTGAAAAATATAAAAATAAAAAAAATATACATACTTTGCATATTTTTATTGTGACTACATATATGTAATGTAAAATTTACCATTTTAAAGTGTACGGTTCTGTGAAATTAATTACATTCACATTGTTGTGCAACCATCACCGCTTTTTGTCCCCAGGACTTTCTCATCTTCCCCAACTGCATATTTTAACATAAACCATATATAGAGTCATTTGGAATTTGCTAGTCTTTTCATTTGAGGCCAAGATCTTTTCTTTAAGAGTGGTCACCTGATTGGAATTCCCCCTGGCCACTTTTTTTTTTTTGCATAAAGTACCACTCTCTAGGATTTCCAGTTTCAATTTTTAAAAGTGAAACAAGAACTGAAAGACACTTGGGAAGGAATCTGAGTGCAGAATCCTCCTAGATTTCTGCCTGCCCGCTCCCCACATTGTACTATTGCCCTGCTCACAGCTATTTTAAAAGCAAATTTTGAATTACCCTACATTTAGCCAGTCTTTCTAAGACACTCAACCTAGTTTTTATGGCAACAAAAATTTGGTGCATTTGTGTCTTACTGGTTTTCATAACACTTAATTAAATATTTTTTTAAAAGTTTCTGACTTTAAACTCAGCTGACTTGTGGAAAGCATCCAGCTGAACTAATAAGGACAGAAGTGTGGGGCACCTAGAGAGCTGTCTGCTTGCTGTGAGCATTTGAAGTGAAGCGTGTCACTTACGAGATGATCTGTAAACTCAGATATATTAAAATAATGAATTAAAAATGGCACGCATATTTCTCATGTTTAATTTTATGTGTCAACTTGACTAGCCCATGGGGTGCCCAGACATTTGGTCAAACATTATTCTTAGCATGTTTGTTGATGAAGTTAATAATTGAACAGGTAGACTAAGTAAAGCAGCTCGCCCTCCCTAATATAGGTGTGCCTCATCCAATCAATTGAACACGTGAATAAAACAGAAAGGCTGAGTAAGAGGGAACTCCTGCCTGACTGCTTTGAGCTGGCATACCAGTTTCTTTCTGACCTTTGAACTTGAACTGAAACATCGGCTTTTTGGGGGTCTCCAGCCTGCCAGTTTTCTGCCTGGAAATACATATTAACTTCTCTCCTCTCCAGCTTGCAATTTCAGATTTTGGGACTTCTCAGCTTTAGTAATTGCATGAGCTAATTATTTATAATAAATAAGTCTCTTCATTCATACATACACACATACACACACACACACACCCATTTATCCTATTGGTTCTGTTTCTCTGGAGAACCCTAATACAATATCTGAGTTAAATGCAATGTGGATCTTGGAATAGAAAGAAGACGTTAGTGGAAAAACCAGTGAAATTTTTTAAGTCTGGAATTTAGTTAATAGTAATGTACCAGTGCTGGTTTCTTATTTGTGACAAATGTACCATGGCAACGTAAGCTGTACTTAGAGGATATACAATAGAGGAAGTTGATTGAGAGTTATATGAGAACATTGTATTATCCTTGCAATGTTTCTGTAAATCTAAAATTATTCCAAAATAAAAACTGTGTTTTAAAAAATGTCATGAACCATATGATCTCTTTTTGAAACCATTTTAAACTATCTATAGATTTGTATTATATTTATGCATCTTGTTCACCAAATGTTAGTAATCTTTACTTTGGGAAATTATTCACTTCTTTCTTTGTACCTTTCTGTATTTCTTGATTTTTTAAAAATGTACATAGCTTTTTACTAAAACAATGAAGTCATTCTTTAAAACATTTGAGGCTGTTTGCCAGGGTGACTTCTAAAAATCATCCAAACTCTAAAAGCACTATGATGTTTGATTTGGTGTTATCTTTCAATAGGACAGGCACCTGTAACACTCTGCTTAGGGACCCAAAGATGATTTTATGATGAGGCTCCAAGATTAATACTATGCCATAGGACTAGAAAAATGGCCAGGTTGTATTAGCATAAGAATATGTTGTTCCTGATAGTCTTAGTCCATTCAGGCTGTTATAACAGAATACCTTAAACGGGGTGGCTTCTAAACAACTGAAATTTATTTATCACAGTTCTGGAGGCTGGGAAGGCCAAGATCCAAGCATCAACAGATTCAGTGTCCTGCTGCTTCCTGGTTTATAGATGGCTGTCTTCTCACATAGTGGAAGGGACAAGTGAGCTCTCTGGCATCACTTATTTATAAGGACACTAATCCCATTCATGAGGGATCTACCCTCATGACCTAATCACCACCCAAAGGCCAAAGGTCTAGGGTGGCGCTGGAGAATTTGTACTTCTAAAATTTCCTGGGGATACTGATGTTGATATTGCTGGCCCAGGGACCACACCATGTGAATCACTGATCTACACCCTACAGAAGCACTAGCCGGTTGTCTAATTCCCAGTGCAAAGGGGAAAAATAAAATGTAGATATTCAGCGTCTAGCACTTAGCCATGAAATTAACAGAAAGAATACACATGTTTTGTTTTAAACCCAAGATATAAAGGCTTTGTTCTTATAATCATCATTCTTTAATTCAAATCATTTTTATAGTCCAAAAGTAAAGCTAAAACTGCTAAAGGAGGAAAAACTATTGATATTTCTATCAGAGTACATAAAAAGGTTAATTATGGCATGCACATCTCAAAGATCTCCCTGCCATGTGAGCCATCTCCAGAAATACTTGCCATAGAACTGAAATAGAAATGATTATATGAGTAAATTATCACCCACACTCCTTGCATGCATCATTTCATACCACAAGCCTTTTCTCTTCTCAAGGAATAATGGTTTAACATTTTACTTTGTGATGGCACTCTAATTGCTAAATATAATAGGGGCATTATGCTACAGAGTTAAAAAGATTTTAAGTGAAAAGATAAGTCAAATATAGTAATCTCATGTAGCCAATGATTCTTTAAAGTGTGCTCCTCTTTTTTTCCAGCTGTCCCCCAATTGTGAACTCTCACAGAATCATTGAGACTCAATAAGGCAGAGGAAAGCTAACAGGGATCCTAGAACATTTCTAGTCCAGGAGCTGTAACTGTGACCCACTGGCCAAATCTAGCCCACCACTTGTTTTTGTAAATAAAATTTTGTTGGAAAATAGGCATGCCCACTCTTATTGGAAAAGAGCCATGCCCATTTGTGTACATATTCTGTGCGGCTGCTTTCACACTACAATGACACAGTTCAATAGTTGCAACACAGACCATGTGGTCCAAAGCTGAAAATATTTACTATCTTACCTTTTACCAAAAAAAAGTTTGCTGACTCCTGCTGTATTGCAGCCCGCTTGTTTGACAGGTTAGAAACCTAGCCCCAAAGAGACAAAGAGGTAGCTCGGGTTCATACACTCAAACAGAAACCGGATTGCAGAATGCCAGGCATCGCCCTCAGCAGCTCTCATAAGAGCTTTGGTCCCCCAAGAAACAGTCACAGCTGCCCTTCACGTATTAGTAGAGAAGGAAACACTGGGGTAAGTTTGCATCTTATTACAATTTTCAAAGAGCCCCTCCAAGTGTCAAACCCAAAAAGAACAGTAGTGAGACAGAAGTGCGCTTTGATGTTAGTCCAAAATGTACCGATGCCATTTTTTTCACACACGTATATAAAGCAGCCTAACGTTCACGGCTCGTTTCTAACAATGAGGAAAGTCCTTTTTCATTGATGAATCATTAAGATCTTCTTTCCTTTCAGAAAGTATACTATTAATAACATTCATGAAGCATTCTCCAGAGTGCCCAGAGCTTTCAGTAGAATGTGCCTGGTGGTGTGAATTCTTATTTTCTCAAGTTATTACATGCACCAAGTTGACAAAGGCATATGAGAGTGTATGTGTATGTTCACATACCTATTTTTTACATAATTCATATATCCATGTCTAAAATAAAATGATACAATAGTGCTAGGTGACCCCTAATCTCTCTCATTTGTATGTTTAGGAAAATATATATCTATTCTGTAAATGAACAGGAACCCAAAGTCTGTGGTTTCAGGTGAATGCACAAAGATGTACAATGAATTGAAAAGGAGTATTTTCACAGAAAGGACCATTATTTTATTTGTTCATTCATGAGCTCTTTACTGGGTATCTCCTCTGTGCCAGGAACCCACTGTGCTGATGCTGACACACAAAAGGGTGAGAGGATCTCACAGTCTGACAGGGGAGCTCATCATCTAAGGACACGTAGTACAATGTCTGCAGGCTCTGCCATGGAAGAGACATTGGAGGGAAGTCCTGGAAGATGAACAGGGGCTTGTCATATGGATATACACATTCCAGGAAAATGAAAATTTTAGTGTTAATTCTTTTGGGAAACATTCTTGACCCCTTAGTTTTATGTAGATATCCCTCTTCTGAGTTCCTACAGCATACATCTATTATAGGACTTTTCTTTCCACCTGGCATTCAGCAGGTATTCAGTAGATGAGTGAATAATGAGTGGGTGAATGAATGGGCGGGTGAGTGAGGGAGGGAGGTGGGAAGGGAGTTAAGGGACGTACAAACTGCAGAGACGTGAACCGCTGTGGCCTATTCAGGGAACTGCTTCTATGGCTGGAAGACAGGGCATGGGGGAAAGGGAGACATACTGGGAAATGAGGCTGGTGAGGTAGGTCAGGGTAACATTATGGAGGACCCTATATGCCACCCTAGGAAGTGGACTGTATCAGTTATTTCAGCAATTCCATGTTGGCCTCTACTTTGTGCCAATCCTGTGTTAAGTTTCTGGAGATGCAAGATTCAGCCCTGTCTTTGTGGAGCTTACCATTTCACTGCAGCAATATTAATTGTGAATAGGGCGTGGGCTCCAGATGCAGACTGCCTGGGTTCCAGTTTTAATTTACTCCTCCTAGCTGTGTGGCCTTTAGTTTCTCAATGCTTCAGTTTCCTTAGCTATACAAACTGGAATAATAATAAAACCTCGTAGTTGCTGTGATGATGAAAATGAGACAATATATGCAAAACTGCCTGGCATATAGGAAGTGCTCAATAACTATTAGACACCCATATTATTGGGGGAAAAACATTGAACAAGTAATTAAAAGTGTGATGGAGAGCTGCAGAAGGTGAGGCCCATAGTGCAATGACAGTGTAATGGTGGTGGGTGGTAGTGGGCCCCCAACCAGATCTGGAGGTTCAAAGAAAGCCTGTCTAGTGGAAGATTGGGTGGAACTGAGGCTAGAGGGAGGCAGTGGCCAGCTCATATAGGGTCTTGTGAGTCATGGTAAGATTTTGGGCCTTGTCCCAAGGTCAGTGAGAACCACTGAAGGGATTAAGCATGGGAATGACAAAAATCAGAGTTGTGTTTTTAAAAGATGGAGAGAAGAGGGAATTGAATTGACAGGGATTGGTGACTGACTAAGATGTGGGAAAAAGAAAAGTTTAAGATATCTCCTGGATTTCTGGATTGAGCAATTGAATGAAAATAGTGTGCCATTTACTTAGGAACACGAGAGTAAGAACAGATGTTCAGGGCAAAGATAAGAGCAGTTGAAGTTGGGGTGCCAGCATGGATGACGGTGGAGCTCAGAATAGAAATGAGCATGGAACCTAGGTGAGGATGGGATTGCCAAGTAAAGCAAATAACATGAGGAGACAACCAAGATGGAACTCTGGGGGTAGAAGAGCAACCCAAAGGAGACTGACCTGGAATGGTCAGAAAGCTTGGTTAAAACCTAGGAGACAGTGATATCACAGAAACCAGGGGAGGAGAAGGGAGGACATGGTCAGTATTATTAAATGCTGCTATGTTTTTTTTTAATAAGAACTGAAAATGGCCCACTGAATTTAGCAATTAGGAGATCTCTGACCTTGGCCACTTAAAACTCTCCTAGATCCTGAGCATGCTGATTTTTGATGATCTTATGCCTGATTATAGCAAACATTAAAATATACCAAATTCCACATTAAATTTTTATAAAGGCTGGGCACAGTGGCTCATACCTGTAATCTTAGCACTCTAGGAGGTTGAGGAGGGCAGATCATTGGAGCTCAGGAGTTCGAGACCAGCCTGAGCAAGAATAAGACCCTATCTCTACTAAAGAAATAGAAAGAAATTAGCTACACAAATAAAAATATATAGAAAAAATTAGCTGGGCATGGTGGCTCATGCCTGTAGTTCCAGCTACTTGGGAGGCTGAAGCAGGAGGATCGCTTAACCCCAGGAGTTTGAGATTTCTGTGAGCTACGCTGATGCCACGGCACTCTAGCTAGGGCAATAGAGAGACTCTGTCTCAAAAAAAAAGAAAAAGAAATTTCATAAAAAATCTAGAAGATTAAAATTTTTTCCTTTTGAAATTATTACTGATTAAAATGTCCTAGTTTTGTCGTTGTGTTTGAACCAATCAGCTTTTCTTTAGATCTCAAACATTGTGTCATTTCTTGAAAAGCCAGAGGACCTAGGGTATTATCAATACTGTCTGCAGTCAGAGAAGGCTACAAGGGGTCGTGGAGCAAATGAGTAATGGAACCAAGTACCGACTTCTCTTTCACAAATTAACTAGGAAAGAAAGGAAAGAGAGGGACAGGCAAACAAGGCCATAAAGTCCAGATATGATTATATTTAAGATGAGAGTGTTTCATGCAGATTGGAGGAAAAAAGCAGCAAAACAACTTTGATGATGCAGAAGAGAATAGGACTATTTCGTCAAAATGTTGCTTGGGTGGAAAAGAAGGGATCCAGAATGTAAGTAGCATTCACCATCTTTAACGCCCCTCTGAGTCCAGATGGAAGAAGAGAAGGACAGGTGGTGGATAGATGTCCCCACCTCATATAGATACCATTCATGAGTAACTCCACCACCATCATTTGGCATTGTTTTTCTAAAGATTAGAGCCTATAATAATGGCAGTGGGTGGTTCCAGCAGTTAACATGTTTCATAAACAATTCCAAACTACTCTGTGATACAGAGTGCTGTGCAGATGTCTGTTGGGGTTTGGCCCCTGGTTCCTTTATGAGCCAAGAAGAGGTGAGTACTCTCTGGGAGTGAAACGCCCACCTGTGTCAAGCAACTTGATTTGTCAAAAGCACCATCTGATAGATTGGTTGATTTCTACTGAGAAGGCCGGAGGTATATGGGAAGTGCATTAAGTCTTTGGGGCCACTGGGCAACATTAGTAAATCATTGCAACAGTACTAAATGATTCCCCTAATGGTCTCAAAGAGTCTCCAATGGTCCCAGGTGCTCATTTGCCCTCTGAGATTTGGGATGATTACAAGTGCTTTTCAAGAGCTAAGTCAGTGGCCCAATTCCCACTTCACAGATAGACAAACTGAAATTTATTCTAGGCCAGTTAATGACAGTTTAGATTATATATTAGCCAGCTAAAGCCGGCTAGCTAATAATTAACACTGCAGCTTGGACACCAATAGGTATTCCAGGGATTATCTCAGTAAATGTCTGTCTTTCAAAATGTAATTGTTCACGGTGAAATACAACTAGGGACTAGACAAGTAGTTCCAATAAGATTGACTTGTGTGGCATTTTGTAAAGATGTTATTTTAATTGTGGCTTTCTGTTTTAGATGGTTGTCAGAAATAGAAATGAAAACTCAAGTCAATAAAGGAGAGAGGAAATATTTTCATAATAGATGTTGGTAATAGGTCTCAAATTCTGCGAGTGTGTTTATCAGGTTCATATGTTAAATAAACTGGATCATCTCCAGAGGTGTTGCTCAACAAGCTTTTAGAGCTGAAAGGGGCCTTGCTATCCTTGACTTAACCACTTTGGTACAGCATCGACTGTAGTCGACAGCCACAGATGAACACGCATGGCGACTTTAGCCGACAGCCGTGATATGGCTTTTCTAATTTTTCATTTATCAAAATAAAATTGCGAAGATTTAAAAACAACATAATGAAAACTTATATGTATATGTTACCTATTCTGATTTACATTACAAGTAAAGCTGCCTGTAAAGTAAAACAAGCGTACAGTGCTTTAAAGCTTTCCTTGTCACACAAGAGCAAAACGGATTTGTGGTCACTGCACAGCACAAACTATCGTGTGGACTGTGAGTGCCGGCTGTGGCAAGGTTTCGCTGCCGGTGAGCGCCCTATGGAAGTGGTTAAGGGCGCTTATTTTACAAATAATAAAACTGGCTCCAAAGTGGCCCAGCCAGGCCTTTTGCCCTAATCTTACATTGCCTTAAGCACACATACCTGAAGGAAAAACAAAAGGGGGTCAAGGACTCCCAGGCCTTCAAGGCTAGTGGCCACTTCCAAAAAGGGGAGAAATATAACATCGTTCATGGTTACCCGAGTTTATTTGTAAAAGGCTACCAATTCTTTTCAAAACATACCTGTAGTTACTAGCCCTCTCGCCCTTCAAAGGAAAAGGCAACATATGTAGAAAAAGAAAAAGAAAAATTAGTTACCAATGATAAGCATGTAAAACTTGAGACAAAGAATTTCTATTACAGGGCTTATCCACCTGTTAAGACTCAAAGCTTGTATGACCAAGAGCTTCTAGGAATTTTGTGACCAGATGCCCAATTATAAATTTCTCTGGAAAGAGACAAATAAGAATTGCAATAAATTGTACTCTGTAAGCACAATTAAGTCTTCATTATTTTTGATGAGGCTGCCTAGTATATTATGGGTGTGTTATTATAAAGCTTACATAGAAGAGTGATGGCCTGTGTAATTCTTGCCTAAAATGGTAGTTTTTTAGTCAGCGGACCAAGAATTAGGGCAGCTCAGAGTTCTGGGATTGCATGGAATGGGACATTAGTTTTGTTGTTTTTTTTTCCCCCCCGTCTTGTCTTTGATAATTAGATTTAGGAAATAAGTGCCAAAATGGCCCATTTTAATCAACATTGGGACTTCCTTGTTGAAATCTTGGCTGAGTTCAGTGAGTTTTGCAAACACAGAAAAAGTAAGTTTGAATATAGGCAGAAGGATGGCCTGAAAAGGAAATTCAGATTTCTTGGCTAAATAAGAGATGCATGCAATTATTAAATGTAATTATTAATCAAAATAAACATAAGGGTCAAATAATTATATAATTATAATTGCATTAAACTCTTTAAAAGTTGAGTACTTCTCTAAAATCTATAAAGTAATAATCAGTATTAGTGAATTCATTAATAATAATCCCCTGCATTTATATGGCATCTTACAAAGTGCTCTCACCTATTAGGACTTGGTTTGCTGTTCACAGGTGCAAGCTGGGCAGGGCAGGGATGATTAGCCCCATTTAACAGATGAATGAGTTCAAGCTGTGAATGATACAGAGCTCTTTCCATAGACAACCCTGCCACTAAAGCCCTGTGAGCAGCCCCTTTGTGATGAATAATCACTTCTCTGCTCAAGTAAGAGCTGGGCCTTAAAAGGTTACTGCCATTTAATATAAATGTTGACTGACATGTGCCCACTCTGGCCTGGAAATATAAGAAGTGTGCCACTTGACGCGTCTTTATGAAATTCATGCTATATTTTTCTAGCAAGAAAGATTGAATAAATTAGGGAGAGTATAGATTAAATACATGTTTCTAGTTGATGGTTAGGAATGTAAAGAGGGTCTTAATTAATGAATTTGTTAATGGCTCTTTCAACTTTTGCTCAATGCCCAGCTATCAATGCCAATGAGTTTTGGACTTTGTCCATGACCTTTATCTGTTTGTCCAAAAGCCATTTTCTTTCATACTCAAGTTAAGGTTACCCAAGTCACACAGTGTACTTTTGCCAGCCTGGTGGAGGTTCTGAATGCCTCCAGACTAGTGCTCCCTAAGAACCTGTAAAATATTCTTTGCATGCCAGCTGTTGTGCTCCTTTGATCCCCCAATTTGCATATGGTACATTACTGAACAAGAGAGTTTTTCTTTCTGTTTCACCCAACGCAGGTGTACAAGCACTCTGTGAGAGCTCTCATAATCGGCCATGTAAATTACCCCACAGATCCAAGGTCTACAAAACTTAGTTTGTCATAAAGACAATAAAAAACCACAATATTTGTACTTTATTTTTTTTTTTTTAAGACTTCTGAAAAAGTCTTCTTCCTGCCAGCAGCAACCTCACAAACGGCACCAATCATTGTGGGAAGGGTTGGCAATTATTTTTCTAGCTGGTGTAGGTTTGTAGAAAAATTTTTTTCCAAAGCCATAAATAAGTAATGAAATGTATAGGCTCACTTTGCTTTCTGGAAAAGCCCACCAACTTTCTTTTTTTAATATTTACTTTTAAAATCTTCCCAGATACTTAAGAATTCTTGGATTCTATCTTCCCAACCATTGCCTTTTTCTCCTGCAGCCATTTTCTATAAAATGTACTTTTTGTCTCACACCAAGAATACCAAACTGAAATAATCAGGTGGAAAGTTTTTCTGTCTTCCTCAGTTCTATTTATGTGCACAGATGCTAACTTGGGTAAAATAAATGTATTATGAACCTCTAGGCATTATAGAACATCTGAGCTTGTTAAAATATGGAGTGTCTTTAACCTTAATTCAGTACTGTTGTAACCAGAAGTCCTAAGGATATGTACTAGATAAAATATTCATCCTGTATGCAAATCAGATCTCAAAAATGATAGATTATTCATCCTATAGCTCTTTCATTATAAAATGTCAAAAATATCACATCTCACATAAAAATGTGATTTTTAAAGACTTTGATTATTAAGATTTCACTCAAATATGATTTTGAACTTATCATTTCTCAATAATAAACTATTACTGATATGAATTATTGCTTTAATCCAAATTTTCAAAAGCATTAAATGAATATATAAAGAAGGAACACAAACATTTTCCCCAGACGACTCCTTTCCTTCTTAAGCTTTGTTCAAAGTTTTGGCCAATTCTATGAAAGACCAAAAAAAAAAAAAAAGAAAGAAAGAAAAAGATAACCAAAAACTTTCATTGCTTTTTTTCAAACTAGTTTCCAAGTCAAATGTTATAATCACATTTAGGGTCACTCAACTTTTAATGTTTACATTTTATAGAAAGGAAAAGGAATATTTGAGTTGGTTTCCTTTAAACTCCAAATAAGGCATAGTAAAGCATTAAATAGCTTGTGATAATACTTAGATCATAAGGAAATGCATCCTTTTATGTTACCCCAGTATTCTATTGGCTAAGTTCAGACTGCCAACCTTTCCCTACCCTGCTTCAGCTAACCGGATGGATCACTTCTCTAGATGTTTACATGAACAGCCTGTGCTGGTAGAGTGGGGGACTCTGAGACAAGTGAACTCATAAAACCAACTTTAGGCTCAGACAGACTTGAGAGGGATTTAATCTCATGGGCTTTGCAGAAAAAAATAATTTTGTGCCACATGCACAGGCAGTTGTTCTAAACTTTTTCATCTTAAATATGCCTTCTGGTCAGCTCTCTTCACTTACTATTGATCAAGTCATTGGGAGAAATAAAAAAGTATTTGTCTTTCCAGGAGACTGCATTAAAGGTATGAAAAAAAATATCCTTTCCTGAGAGCCTGCTAAGTCATCTTCCCTCACTCACTCTTGCTTAGAGCTCACTCCAACATTCCTTTTATGCACAGGGTCTACTTCTCATCCACTATACATTGTGCCAACCTGCTTTCTTCAGCAGATTGTTGGTGCTAAATAAATGGTGTGACTTGTAGTAATAATGGTGATGATAATGAATCTTAAAACACCTAACTAATCTCAGTGAACTCTCAGTGATGTTAGGCTGTGGAACACATGGTTGACTAACAGTGATAATGACTGAAAACGAGGTGATAAATGACTATGCAGATAGTTGATGGTCTATAATTGTCTTTAAAGGAGGATGTTTTATAACAGACTAATTCTATTTAAATAAATGTGTGTAGCATTACAGACACATAGGATTGTATCTGTAATATTTTTTACAGTAACCTGCTCCATAAAATACAAGGCACCAAACAACTTGGACAAACACTCCTGAGGTCAAGGGCTGTGGGAGGTAAGAATTAAGGTTATGTTTGCTCTTTCTTGAATGTTGCATTGTTCCTGGGTCTGTAAGCATAACTTTAGAGACTCCACCAATATAAACACAAAACTACCTAGTTATGAGCCTGTGTTTACACAGTCCAGATCAAAAGCACAGACACTCAGGTTCATTTGCATTTGCTGCCAAAAATGTCCTGATTCTTCTTTTGGAAAGGAGCAATAATTCATATTTTGATGCCATTTACTCTCCAGGTTAATTTATATTTACAAATTTTATAAAAGGACTCATATTCTTTACCATGTTGCCAGCACTTTCTTTTCTTTTGAGTTGCATTGTTCTCTTCTAAGGAACTGGTTGTGTGGCAGATCGTTGGATCATTGCAGGGAGCACAGATGAAAAGCCTGTTATTCCAAAGGATTAAATTACAATTCTTAGTGAACCATTGCCAAGCAATTTTTTTCCCCCTACAAACCCAGGGAGGATTGGAAATAGGAAATGTTATGCCTTGAAAGGGGTGGGAACGGTTGAGTTGATGAGGAAGAATAACCATCCTACTGTTATTAAATTCCCTTCAAGTAAAGTCATGAAGCAAATAAAAAGATGATAAAATCTGTAAAATATCCAAATGATCAGGAATAACAAACAACTGAGTTTGTAAAGAAGTAATGATATTATGGGATAGATTTTTATTGAACTATAAACATGAGTAAGGGGAAGAATATAATAGATGTAGTATGTACATATTAATACACAAAAACAAGATTTCAACTTCACTATAGCATCTTCACGATTCAAGTCCTTTGAGGGGGGTAAGGACTTAAGATCCACAAATCACTTGAATATGAGCTGTCTTGGGAAGGACTATAAAATCTAGTAGGGAAGAAAAAATGAAAGGGAGTGTCTATCTTTGAGCATATTCCTAAAAATCTGACTTCTGAAACCAGGGGGAGATATGAGTTCTGTTTGAGGTTCCAACCACCAGAGAACTATCATATAATCTAAGCGAGGAGAGGATAAGTAGATGTGGGAAAGAAAACACCATAAAGAAGAGATGTTTCAAAATTCAATTCTGAAACATGTTAATGAACTCAGAGAAACATGAAGGATTTAGGTGCCCAATGGCATGGAGAAACTGAAGTAAGGAGAAAAGAAACTGACAATTAGCTGTGTGCTCATTACACCAGGCAGTCTACAGGATGCCGCTGTGGTTTCTGTTTCTGTATCACTATAAGAATCAGGAACAAATGCCACGTGAAATGCTGTAATAAAAAAGTTCAAAAATATACGTGCAGTGTGTAACTTGTTTCAGGCACACATCAAACACGGTAGTAGGTACTTGGCATTAAAGAGATGGATGAGATACAATCCCTGCTCTCTAAGAGTTCACAGTATTTTGGAGAAAACACAAGTAGATGATCACAGTAAAACACTGGAGCAGATGCTACAAGGATATGTAATACAAAGGAAGCTGAAGAGCTGCAACTCGCTTTGCCTGGAGAAATCAAGAAATGTTTTGAAAAAGGGGTCATGTTTGAGTTGGGTTTTGAGGGATGAGTACGAGTTCCCTGGGCACAAAGAAAATAGGTGCAAAGAATAAGGTGCATGCAGCGTGATGACTGCAGGATGCATGGGTGAAGGGAGTCAGCAGGAGATGAGGTTGGAGGATGGGGGGGGGTCACTCTGTGAAGGGCCTTCCAAACTTGCCAAGCGGTTCGGCCTTCACCAGTTAAGCAAAAGAGAGCATTACCAGCTTTAAAGCAAGGCAATGACCCAATCGAATGCCTGTCTCAGAACAGAAACTCTGGCTATGGGAGGTAAGGCGTGGCTCAAGTCTGCAGGTGGCAGTCAGGAGGCCACTGCAGTGGGGACGGAGGAGAAGTGAGAGGACAGATTACATAGATACTTTCGAGATAAAATGAATAGATCTTTGTGAGTTATTAAATGTTAGGGCTGAGAAAAAAGGGAAAAGCTGAAGGAGACTCCAGTTCCTAAGATGGTGATGCCATTCACTGAGATACAGAACACTGCAAAAGGAATATATCATTTATGCCAACAGCAGGCCAGTACAGGGGGCAGGGAGACTGGCAGATCTGTTATTAAAATCCTCCTTGTACAGCAGAGGAGAATGCAACTCAGAGAACCGGCCAGGACAGCGTGCTCACACTGCCACACCCTACTGTGTCCTTGAGGAGACTCAAGGGTTAGAAAACATCTGATTGGAATTTTACTTCATTTTTAACTATTACAAAACACTATTTTTAACAAGGCACATTCCAGTGTGTCATATACCAAATGTTATGACAATAGAGACCAACAACATGCGAACTTGTCTCACCAGGTTAACTCTCTGAGCGCGCAGCCCTCAGAACAAAGGAAACTCCCTCTCATTACTTATAAATAGAATAATATCCTGAGAATGCAAGGCAAGATATTTAAAAACTCATATTTTTACCTTTGCCAATAGCTTATCTTCATTATTAAGAAAATTTTAATACTATGCAACCGATAAGAAATCACAGAAATAAATTGGCCACTGAAGCTCACATAAAATAATTGTCTTCAGAAGAGACTTTTACAACTTATCGAGTTTGCATACATGTGATAAATTTGAACTAATGAAACGTTTACTATTCTTATTTTATATATTCCATCTTATATGGATTGTGATTATAAGATTTCTTGAGATTCTACTTCAAAAAATGTTTTTAAAATCCTGCACATAAGGTGTATTATATTACATTTATTTCTCCTGAGTTGTATTTCTTAGATTGCTAATAAAGTCTTCAATGTTTTGGTCTCATTTAAAATTCTAAAACTGTCCTTTTGCGCTCTCCACACTCACCCATATTCTTTTTCTTGCTCCCCACTTTTCCCTCTGAGTTTGGAATTTGTGCAGGATAATAATAGGAACAATCTGATTTGTCAGAATAATTAACCAAAATGTGTCTCTTCTGTTTTTCATTTTGCGTGATCACAACAACATCAAAATGCAAGAATGGAGTGAACTGTTTTGAAGTCTGGGTTTTGGAAACACCTGTTTACTGATGTGGATGTGTGTGAATTTTCACATTTAATATTAATAGCAGCTTATGCTGTCATGTTTACACTGCAAAAAAAATAAAAAATAAAAAGCAGTGACCTGCACAGATCCTGACAAAATGCATTTAAAGTTTATGGTAGCAACTAAAATTTTAGTGGAAGAATGAAAATGTATATTAATACAATTTATACTTATTATTTTATATAATTTTATATGAGCAACAATCAACTCTTGTTATACATAACTTTTTAATACATTATTGAACTTCATCATCAGCTTCTTGATTGGGTCTCAAGCACTCATCAGGCCCCTTACAAGCACTATCGAAGGCTTAAACATCTTGTATCCATCATAAAAAGTAAGCAGGACCATAATGACTAATCACATTAGCATAATTTAAAAATGCAGAGTGTGAATAGCATTTTTCCCCAAGATTTGTAGTAAAAACATACTCAACGATAAGACTGAAATGATTCATTACACCATTGGCTTGTTTATATTATAACATATTTATGTGCCTGGCAGAATGAAACCATAAAACTACCATTAACGAGTGGGGAAGAGTTTCTGTTTTTAACTAAATTGCATGAATTCATGATGAATATATACAAAAAAAAATTATTTCAAGGAAGGGATATTGCTATCCTGTTATATCCTTTTAAGACATTATAAAGCCCAGTCTCATTATAGATCTTTTCAGTAATCTACACTTTGTACTTTCCACTTAGGCTGTAAGTAAATTTAGCAATTTATAAACCCGTTTCTGTCCTTACAGCCAAACAATGAGTTGCAGGTGGAGTTACCGCATAGCACAGAAGCATGTAGCTAAGAGAAAATTTATCCTTAGCCTGTGGGCGAAGCACTTTTTTTTTTTTTTTGGTAACCATTTACAAATAAAAAATCTTACCATGCAAATATATATGAATTTACTGGTTCCCTGTCAGGGCTACTGAATGTCTGCTTTAGGACTGAATTGGTCTACTAAATATTAGTTATTGAGTGCCAGGCATTAAGCAAGGTGCTTGAAAAGGAAATAGACATTTAAATTATAGTATAAAGAGTTTTGTCATGGAGGAACTAACATGACAGTGTTAACTGAAGGTAAGTGGGAGTTTGCCAGGTAAAAGGATATAAAGATGTAGATATAAGTATTCCAAGCAAAGGGCAATAGTTTATGCAGAATTTTTAAGGAATTGAGAATAGATCATTATCAAATGATTATTGAATAATTGACCACATTCTCTAAAGATTTCAAAAGAAAATATAGCAAGAGATGCAGGGGTCCAGGTTTATTCACTTAATACATACTCAGGGGCTAGGAATATGGATGGTATTTGCTCTCAAGGAACTTATACTTTAGAAGAGAAACATATAAAAATAAATCAACATAATAATGTCCAATTAGGGAAAATGCAATGAGGAAAACAAACAAGGTGCTAGGTTAGAATAACAGGAAGACACTACTTTAATGGAAATCAGGACAGTGTCTCTAAGGAGGTGAGATTTGAAGAGAAGGGGTCAGATCAAGAAAGCCCTGATGAACCTTCTTAGGGAGTGGGGCTGGAGGGTTATCTATGTTAAAAGGTTTTAAGGAGAGGAGAGATGTGATCAACTTGAATGGTAGACAAATCAAGCGGGCTGCTACACAGAGTTTGGAAATGAACAAGGCAGGAGGTAGGGAGACCCCTGGGATGGCTTCTCCAGTAATTTCTTTTTTTGAGAGAGAGAGAGACAGAGAGAGAGTCTCACTCTGTTGCCTGGGCTAGAGTGCCGTGGTGTCAGCCTAGCTCACAGCAACCTCAAACTCCTGGGCTCAAGCAATCCTGCTGCCTCAGCATCCCGAGTAGCTGGGACTACAGGCATGCGCCACCATGCCCGGTTAATTTTTTCTATATATATATTTAGTTGGCCAATTAATTTCTTTCTATTTTTTAGTAGAGATGGGGTCTCGCTCTTGCTCAGGCTGGTTTCGAACTCCTGACCTCTAGCAATCTCCCCACCTCGGCCTCCCAGAGTGCTAGGATTACAGGCATGAGCCACCGCACCCGGCCCCAATAATTTCTTAGTGCTAGAATATTTTAGTCACAATGATATTAGGCAGGGATGATATTAAAAGACTTCACAACTACTTTGGCATGAGCATTGACCCATGAGAATGGATGCTAGCCTGAGCACTAGAGCAGAATCTGCAGGCCTCTGCTGGGCCAGGCTGGCTGGGGCACGTGGGCCCCAAAGGTGGAGCCAGAATGACTGGGGCTTAGGCCTGCAGATCTTTACAACCAGTATGAAGTATTTCAATATTTTAGCAACAGATGCAGCTGTCCCAGCCTGGGAATTAGGTAGACGGAGCCAGGGAAAGATTCAGGATTGACTAGGAAAGAGAAGGCTTACGTTTTGGTAATGCAAAAGGGAACAGTTAGTGATTGGGCTCTGGTTTCTGCTTAGGCAACAGGTAAACTCATGTTCAATCATATTCACTCATCACTTTACATTTAAGACACCTGAAAGACCTGCAATGTCAAGTGGGCATTTGTATACATCAGTAAGGAACTGGGGGAAAGATCTGGGCTGAACAAAAAACTTTGGGATTTTCCAGCATAAAGATGTAGAATAAAGCTACAGCATAAAGCTACGGAATAGATAAGGTCCCCTAGAAAGAGAATAGGGAGAAAAATCGTAGAGCCCAGTATAGAGCCCTGAGTAACCCCAACATTTAGAGTTTGTGAAGAGATGGCGACTTCGATGACTGAGAATGAGTAGCTACTGCTGTAGGAAGGAAACCAATCTTGGCAGGTTTCAGAAGCTAAGAGTGGAGTATTTCCAGGAGGAGGGAGTGGCTGGCCTGAAAGCTGTGGAGAGATTGAGTAAGATAGGACTGGAGTCTCTAAGGGATTTAGCAACATGGAGATTGTTGGTGACCTTGATAAGGGCAATTTTAGTGGGTGGTGAGCACAGAGGTCAGATTGTCCAGAGTTGAAGTTAAATGAGAAGTGGGGAAAGAGAGATAATGCAAAACAACTTGTTGCAGTGACATGGGACTGCTGTGATTTTTTTTTTTTTTTTAAGGAAAGAGGCTTGAGCAAATTTAACTGCAAGCGGGGGAGCCATTAAGGTATTTTGATAGATTCCAAGGGTCGGCAAACTTAGGCTCCTGCCTGTCTTTGTAAAGAAAATTGCATTGGAACACAGCCACTCCCATTCAGTTATGTGTTATCAATGACTGCTTTTGTGCTACGAGGGCATAGTTTAATAGTTGTGACAGAGACCTATGGCCACAAAAATATTTGCTCTCTAGTCCTTTCTATAAAGTTTGCCAATCCCTGGGTTAAGCTAAAATATCACATGCCCTTGCCCATTTACTTTTCCCAAGAACCCAAATATGTACATGTATAAATGCATTCATAAATATATAAACCAAACAAATGAATCTATTTCCTCAGGCAAAAGTACTATGGAAATTCTCTCTAGTCAGTTTACCAATTTATTGACAAAAAAAAAAAATGACTTAGCTATTGCTTTTCTACCAATAATATACATTTATCTGTTGTTGACAATACAAATAAACACATTGTAGTCACCACTACATACCTGGTGCTGACCCCAACACATGATAGGTGTCTGATATGTGTTGATTGAAGCAAGGAAGGGAAGGAACTAGGTGCTATGCCAGAGGATCTCCTCTAGATCTGGGTGGATATCAGAGGATTCCCTGGGTAAATGAGTTTATAAATACCAGGTGAGGTTTGTGGCACCTGGAATAAATCACATTCCCTCTAGAGTTAATTTGGGAGGCAAAGGGGGTTGAGTTGGAGAGATGGGGCTAAAGCTCACGTCAACAGTAAGCTTGATGTGAAAACGAAGTCACAAAGAGGCAGTGTGTGGCTTGGCAGTGGGAAAGGCCATGCGACAGCTCTCTATTTGTTGTGATGCAACAGAAAGTAGTGATGAGCTGAGTTTATGTACAGTCCGAGCCAACTTATGCCTCAGGAGAGGACCAGGAGTTGGACTGTAGAAAAGTAGGTTAAAGCAACAAGGTCCCTGGAACTTTTTTCCACAAACATTTTAACTGAAAAGAAAAAAAGGACATATCATCAATTGGCCAATCTTTCGACATAGGGGCAAGGCCTTTTCTTTGAGCACAGGGCATCATTCTTGCATAAAGCACACCTCTAACACATTAACTGAGATTAGAGTATGGGTTTCTTTAAAGGAAAATGAGAACTTACAGACAAATGGGAAGTGACCTGAGCACAGTATCCTTCTAGATTCTTTTCCCACAATCTTTTACAGTATCACACTTATCAAGCTTTCAGCTTGTTTTTATAGAAACAGCTCTTTTCTTTGTCTTCCTATTTCATCTATTTATGTAATAGTTAGTGAAATCACACAATTATTATAACAAAATACAAATGTCATAAACAGATTTAGGAAACAACAGCAGCTTCTTAAAGAGCATACAGTTCATATCAGAGAGTAACCTACTAACTTCGTTCTGTGTGGGAGAGCATTATGATACAAAGGAATAGAGAGTCAGTGATTCTGGGAGTCCAGGAAGAGGAGGCAGGTTAAGATTGGTTTTTGGAATAGGTAGTACAAGCATATTACAAGCTCCAGCTGGTGCTCCTTGAGTCACTGACAAGCTGCCAGCATGGCTGGGTCCCCTGAATATTGACTAGGGGCAGCTGTCCCAAGTCATCCCACTCTAGGGACCTTGTTGTATTGTGTGTTAGAAAGCACGCATTAAGTACTTGCTTTAGCTTCTTCTGGGATGTAGTATGTGGAATAATGGATGACTCCTCCTAACAATGCAACTTTCAGAGCATTTACAACTGATGAGAAACTGGCCCTGCATATCCCAAAGCAGATTTGACTTTGTAAGGCATACTTAAAATTCTCAAACTCCTGGATCTAGACAGAGACAGTAAAAGCTCAGTAAACGTTTTCTGGCAGCATGTCACCTGGTAAATAACAAAGAACAGCCAAAATAGTAGGCAGAGATCACTGGACAATATAAAAGTCAGGAATCAAAGCAGTGGTTAATATATTACTGTGAACAGAGACTGGAGAGCCCCCTCTTCTGCAGCAAATGCCTAGCTAGATTTCTCATTTATTTTATGCTGAAATTGTGTTGACAAAAATGATTCTATTCTTTACTGTTGCTATTTTAGAAAATTATTTTCAGTGGTTTGGAAATAGGATTACCCTTTGAGAGTTCACTGTGAAATAATCAAGAATATCATTGATCAAAAATAGATATAAGAAAAGAGACTATTTCCCATATGAAACTTTTCTAATTAAATATTCTGTATTGAGCCATTGAATGGTAGAAATTGAAGGGGCCTAACAGATCAAAATGACTTCTTTGACAGATTTGGATATTAAAATCCAGAAAGTTTACATGATTTGTTCAAGGACTCAATGCCAGTTATGAGCTAATCCAGCCTCCAGTCCAGCCCAAGTCTCTCAGGTCCTAGTCTAACATCCTTCTCATCATGATATCTTCCTTCTGCATGAAATTTGCTGATAAGTTGAGATCACTCCATCCTTAGTGATCTGGTTACTGTAGTTAAGTAATAAATTACCCATAACTCAATGAAGTAAAACAACCATTTGTTATGCTCACTGAATCTGTGCCGCACAGATTGGGATAGGGCTCTGTGGGGATGGCTGGGCTTTGGTCTTTGCTCCAAGGCTTGGGCCTGGGGTTGTCTGAAGACTCACTCACATGTCTACTGGTTGATGGTGGTGATGGCTGGGACTTCAACTGGGGCCGTGGACCAGAACACCTACAAGTAGCCTGAGCCTCCTCACAACATGGGGACTGGCTCTCAAGGGTAAGCCTTACACGAGAGACAGCCAGACAGAGGCCACATATTGCCATGTATGACCCATCTCAGAAATCACACAGCATGACTTCTACACTGTTTTTTTCATTGAGGCACTCATAAAGTCCCTAATCAGGCCATCCCCTAATTCAAGAGGAGGCCTTCACCTCTTGATGGGAAGTGGGAAGGTCCTAGAAGAGTATGTAGGACCAGCAACATTGCTGTGGCTACTTTTGGAAATGATAATCTGCTACAATTAGAATTAAAGGCTTTCTTGGCAAGAAGAAAACTGGAGAGAGAAAAGAGGCAGGAGAAGAACTGCTAACAAATCATACCTGAAGGCTGAGTGTGCCTTACTCCCATTTCTCTCCCTCTGGGGAACTTTGCAATCTGTGCTTACTGCAAATTGAATAGAAATAAAGCATTTTAACCCGACATGATTGAAGCTTTTATTTCATTTAACTGTCTAGTTTGGTGCCTTGGAAAGTATGTTTATAGGATATATCCCTAGCATAAAAATCCTTCACAACGAGGAAAAAGGGAGAAATTATTTTAATTGAAGAAATTATTTTTTAAAAATAGATCATGTACTAGACTATAAAGAAAACATCAATAAATCTCGTAAAACACAAAGTGCACAGGCATATTCTCTGACCACAGAACAATAAAACTACAAATTAGGAACAAACATTTAAACAAAAATTTCCCACCCACTTGGAAATTTAAAAATACACTTCTACATATCTCTTGGGCATAGAGAGGTAAATATGATGTGACTAAAGAATATGTAGAAAATAAAACTGAGAATGCTACAAATCAAAAGTCATGGGATATGGCAAAAGCTAGATTTAAGAGGCATACAAACCAATGAGGAATGAATAATGACAACACACAGCAGCAGCAGTTTTGGCTGGCACTTCATGTGTTAGGCACTGGTCTAGGAGCTCTATGTGTATCAATTCATTTAAGCTTCACAACAACCTGTAGATAGACTATTATGTTCATTCTCATTTTATTGAGGAGGAAATTGAGGCACAGAAGGGATGAGTGATTTATGCAAGATTGTGCAACTAGCCCCTATTGTATGTCAAGCAATGTCCAGGCATTGGGGTTCCAATAGTGACCAGGCATAGTCCATGGCAGGCATAGTCCATGCTTTCTTATGGACCCTCATTGCTGCTGGGCAGGAGTAGGAGTTCTGACTCACACTAGGGGTCTACTCATATGGGGGTGCAGAGGTGGCCTCATTACCACTGGGTCATGGTGAAAGCCCTGAAGTTCCACTAGGTCTTTTCTGATGCCACCCCAGCAATGAGTGGGGGTGGGGAGTCCAGGCTCCCCGTATGGTCTCTACCAGCACTGGGGGAGGGGAAGATGGAGGGAAATGTGTGTCATTATGGCCTGGCAGGGATGAAAATCCTGGCTTCCTACTCAGCATTCTCTCACACCACCATGGCGGGTGTGTTGGGGGGGGGCTCAGTATAGCCTAATAGAGGGTTGAAATCTGGCATAGGAGGGGATGGGGACACATTTTTTTCCTGTGGTTTTCAGCTGGAGTGGAGTGGTTATTGTCTGAGTTTTCTATTTTGCTAGACTGTCCCTTTCCTGGTTCTTTGGCTAGACAGATCAGGCTTTTGTTTAGGCTTTTTTTTTTTTTTTTTTTTGTCTGTGCCTGTTGGTGTTTGCGGGTTGCCAGCTTATTCTGCTCAAAGTCTGGGATATATGAGGCAAACAAATGAACAAAAAGCATAGGGAACTAATTACTGTGTTATTGCTCAGGTCCTGAAGTCTCTAGCGGCTCTGCCTTCTTCTATCTTTCAATTTTTAAAATATTTCTTTTATATGTAATGTCTGGGGGGGGTGTTATTTTACTTAGCTGAAGGGAAAAGTATGTCTGTCTATTCTATCTTCCCAGAAGATAGCAGAAGTCTCCTGTTTTGTTTTTTAAAAAAATCTGACAGCATGTGCCCATTCTCAGTGCAGGAAGAGAAACAGAATGACAGAGAATTATTTATGAGTGTGATCCACGCACAAGTAGAGAGTTTATCCAAAGCACAAGAGGGAAAGGTGAGAATATACGGTGTTACAAATTCAAGGAGTTTTCTGGATAAGGTGGTAGGTGGATGAGGAAGATCCAAAGTGTTGGATTCTATTGTCTCAATGAAATAAGAAGGGAACCCATCAATTTAGAAGGGAAAGGATCAGGGAAGCCTGGGGACTTGCAGGGAGAAGAGGTGTGAATTGGTTGCTTTGAAGGGTGGTAGAGTGACCTGACTGGAGGAATGTGGTAGGATGGCTGAGCATACGGAAGCCATGTAAATTTAGAAGGAAACGAGTCAATGTAGTTGCTTGTTTCCCTCAGGAACTATGTACAAAGTAGGCAGACAGATTTGGGTTTCATCAGTAATTGTTGCCAAATTAGATATTAGAAGGGAAAAGGAATAAGGACATGGAGGGTATGTGCAATGGAGTGATTGTGATGATGGAACACAGAATCAATATCACAGCATGGCACGGCAGGGAAGGCATTATTTACATTGCATTTGCAACACAGTAACCCTGCATAGATTCTAATCTGGATAAGGATGAATTTGAGAAGATAGACAGTGAACCTCTGGGGGTGATTGGATTGGCAGTCCCAAGGAGGTTGAAAAAATTGATAAAGTGGAACTGATAAATTAGAGGTGCTCAAAGACAGGAGGTGATGGCCATAAAATAGATACTTGAAATTGAGATTTAGGAGGTGAAATAGATACTGGGAATGAAAACTTCTAGGGTATGAAATGGGACAGTGTAGCTGAAGTAGGGTGGATGAAAGGCCATTGGTAGAGTAGATAGCCTTACCAACCCTCTCACTGAAAATAATAAAAATGATGAATAGAACATAGAAATATATATTTTTAAATGTATCAATGAACTGGTAATAAAGTAAGGCTAAAATGAATTCAAAGCAAAGCCCTAGCAAGATGACTGAGGATGCACTGATGCTGGCTTCTATCTATACTGGGGACTTTTGATAGATCCAGGGAATCTTGAGTTCCAGTTTTCACATCCTTGTGGTATATGGACAATAGGTCACAAAGCCCAGGCCAGCCCAAAGAAGGTAGTCTAAAAGTTAACATTCCACATAAGCTTGAAAGGGTATACTAGAAATAAAATTTCCCCCACAGCAGACAACAAAGAAATTTGCTTATCTTAAAATTTGGCACTGGGTAAAAGGGAAGAGAAATCTTCCCTGAAAGTTTATAAGTACAAGCCAGCCCTTATGTGTGAGTTTTGCTGCCTGAGTTTCACTACCTGGGTGGTCTGGAAAAACTTTAAGCTGAGAATTTAGTTTAAAGTGGCCCTCCTTTAGTAGTACCCATGGGCATCTGGCAGAAACAAATGCAAATCCTCTTTAAATGAACTCCCT